TTATGATTTATTTAATCATGGGGAGCGGGCTTTCCCTGTGCACCGGCTCCGGGGAAAGGTGCTGGATGCCTTTCAGTGCCGCAGGGCTGTGCCTGCCCCGGCTGGCCGCAAGGAAGGCAAAAACCCCACAATTTAGACCATTTCTGTCAGGTTTTGAGCCTGGTGTGTCTAAGCAGGAGGGAGTTGGGCTCTTGCACAGATAGTTGGGGTAATTCTTGTCAGGGTTGCGGTAGGTCCTGGCCGTCCTTTGGAAGCACACTCTGCCGCCCGCCTGTCGCGCTCGCGGCTCTTTTGCACCAAGTCCCCGATCCCGGAGGAAAATCTGGGGGGATGGAGTCAGGTGAAGGGTGCGAGAGCCAGGGGATGTCTTTTGGACCGTCCCCGTGGCGTACACAGCCCCCCGCATTGAGTTTGGGGTGTCTCGGGTGGTCATCTTACCTCTGCTGCGTGGGGCTAGCTGGCTGCAAACCACGCATGGCCCTGGAGGGACCGTTTAATTTACTTTATCTACCTATATACATGTAGATATGTGCTTTGATCACAGGGAAGTGCCTTGTTTTGATCCACTCGCCATGAAACAACGGTGTTTGCTCTGGGGAAATCGGCGTGTCCCCATCCAAGACAGGAGGGTCACCGCAAACCCTCAGTATTTGGCCTCTACAGAAGGGCAAGCCCCCTCCTTTGGGAGGTCTCCGAGCTCTAAACTTCACCATAGGCCTAGCAAATAAATGTTTGCTGTATTCCTGGCACTTTTCCCTCATTTCCACCCCCTTCCCAGCAAGTGGTTTCCAAGCCAGAATGGTCTAAAGGACATCTCGGAAGAGAGGTCCCCCGACAGCGTGGATGGCTGTGCAACAGCCTTGCTCCCTTCGGCATTGCCCGTGCTGTGGGAGCGAGGGGGGGTGACTCGCGCCTTTCTGGCATCGTCAGCCCAGCTCTCTAATTGCATTGCTCTGCTGCAGCAGCTTTGCAGAACACCGAATGGCTGCTTTCAGTTAGCCCAGGTGGTAGCTGGATCCCGATGCGTTTCTGCCTAATGCTACAAAGGCAGAAGAACTGCTGATGCACACCGTTCCCATCAGCCACTGCTAATAAGCAACTTTTAAAGAGGTGTTAAGGACGAGCAACAATTTTTGCATTGCTGTCTCGGCTCCCAGAAGCAGGGGCAAGCATTCCCCTCGCTGTACCCAGGGAGAGGGAGGTGAGGAGGGCTGGGGGCACCCGCTCTGCCTTCGCCAGGTCCCGACTTACCAGTCGGTCGCAGTTTGGATCCCCCCAAGCCGCAGTAGCAGCCCTAACCGTTGTAGGACAGCAGCGATTTGTGTTCTTAGGCTTAATCATTGAACCGAACTGAATCACGTTGCAGCTGGCAGGGGACAGCCCTGTGACTGGAGACAGGGGGTCAGGAGCACCGGGAAAAGCAACCACCCCTCTGTAGCAAAACCGAGCATTTTCACCCTCCCCATAGATAGAAACTGTGAGCACCAGGCTTTCCTCACCGCCTCGTCTGGTGGGGTGAGAGCTGGCGCGGGGCAGAGGAGCAGCAAGAAGAGCTTCGTGTCTGGCGGTGGCAGCTCCGTGTTTGGGTGAGCCCGAGGTGCTGCCGGTCGCACCTTTTATGGCCACCGTGTACCCGCCCGGTGGGACCCCTCCTTTGGAGAACCCAAACTGGGCAAATATTGACAATCCTCGCTGTATCGGTCCCGCTACGTGTGTGAGCCTCTCTCGGCGTTGCTGGAGGCCCCAGCTGCAGGATGCCCTATGCTGGGGGAGCCCTTTGCAGGGGAGTTTGCGGTGGACTGGGATGACTGGGGTCGAGTCCGCGCATGGCTCTGGGTATCTCAGCATCCCAGTGGCTCCCTGAGCAAAATGGGAGAACTTGGGGGAGAATGGGAGCCACTTTTCCTAGATGACTATTAGTTTTTTGATGTCTTGGTTAGAAAATACCATCCTGCATCTTACTGTTTCCACCGTGACTTACCCAGGCAGGGAGAAAACGCAGCCGGTGCAAAGCATCCTCCATTTCTGACTTACCGAAGTGGGTGAGATGCAGCACCGTGAGCCGAGGAAGGCGCGGCGGTCCTCCGGGACGGGCTGCGGCTGAAGGCAGGGCTGAGCAAGGGCCCCGCGTGCCCGTTTTCTTGTTAGCGGGAGCTTGTCAGTGCCCAGATGCTCCTTGCGTATGGGGATGCTCCATCACTTGCCCCGTATGCGCTGGGTGCTGCGTGTAGTCTTGCGCTCAACACGGAGCAGGCAATGTTTGCAGACCATTGCACGAGGTGCCTGGTTCTACTTTATGGAGAAGTAAAATAAGGCAAGGAATAGGGTAAGGAAAAAAAAAATTCAAGTGGTGTATAATGGAAGGGTAAAAAAGGAGGGTGGTTGTGTCATTTGCTTGGAGAGAATTAATTAAATAGGTGATGCCGAAAAATCATTTTAGCAGTTTTCTTCTGGAGGAGGTTGCAGGTGCGCAGTGCTCTGCGCCGCTTTGCGGGGAACCCCGGCACGGGCAGGCACCAAGCCAGGGGGAGGAAATCCCCCCCATTGCTGACAGGGAAACTGAGGCAGGGAACAAGGATGTGACTTGCGTGGAAATCGGGGAGATGGTGAGAAAAGGGAACTCGGGTCAGGGCCTCAGCACAGTCTCTTCCCCCTCTGGCACATGCCGTTTGCCTTGTCAGCTCTCCAGGCCAATTTAAGTAGACCGCAGGGATGCTGGTGAGTTAATTAGCCAAACCGGGGCTTGCCATAATTCAAGATTTTGAGCCCACAGCCAGTTTTTATCACTGGGCAATAAGGTATATTTTTGTGCATCAAACTGGCTGAGCTTCCAGGTGAAAGACTCTCTGCCCCAACTCCTCTACCCGCGGCGGGTTTGCAGTAACCCTTCCCCAAATGTGAAATAACATCCCCCCGGGGCTGAACGCCTCCTGGGAGGATGCGGATTTTTTCTCTTTCACAATACGCAAAACAACTTTTGCAGCCCAGTTTATTACAATGGACCGAGGGGGTGCAGTATCTGAGCCAACACATCAGCACTTAGAGCTCTGTATGAACAAATTGGTACAGCCAGATGTCCAAGCAGAAAAATACATAGATAATTAAAATTCACCCAGAATTTAAACAGGGAGAGTGTGTTTCAGCTCATCCTGGCCTGCAATCTGTCTGCGTGATCGCCCCTCTCCCATCTTGGCGAGGATTTGAGCCTTGATTTACGCCTTGCAAACAGTAGCTGTTGGGCGAAGGGCTGCCCACTCCTTCCTTGTCTCCCCCAGGACTAAACGCTGCTGGACGAGGAGGGTGGTAGAGCTTGTGCCTGGGTTACAGCCGGAGGGAAGCATTTCTGATTTAAGAGATATCTCCCGGTGCCGTTGACTTCAGCTTTGGGGCGAGCCAGGGTGGAAATAACAGGTGCTGGTGCCCAGGGCATCGGCCTCTGGGGAAACGTGTTTCGTTGCTGTCTCTGTGGTTATATTTCATTGCTGAGCCCCACGGGGGTTTGCAGCGCTGGGACCTCCCAGGGGGTCAACCCTGCTGAATTGTTCTGCAGGGCAGAAAACCTGCGCCGTGGGGATGCTACGGCGG